CGGACGCTCGGACGGACGGACGATCATGCGATTCTACAAGCTGCATCTAACTATGTCAGATGAGCTAAAAATTGAAGGGGGAACCTCAACATGTAAGGACGAAATAAAACGACAATGAGTTTTCTGCTAACAATGGTGAGAAACAGTGGGAAACTGGGGCGAGTAGTGTCACAGAAACGCAGTTTTTTCCACACTTCCTGTGTCTGTGAACTCACATATGTTTCTCGGTCGAAATGAACAAACAACACCTTCAAAAACACCCCTGTCGATTTTAAATGTCGGCCACATTGGTTCAAGGATAGAGAACATGGGTCCCAATAAAACCAATGTCATTTACAGCAATATAAATATAATATTTTATCAATATAATAGGTTAGGGTTATGGTTAGGGTTAGGGTTAGAATTAGGGTTAGGGTTAGGGTTAGGATTAGGGTTAGGCACATTGGTTTTATTGGGACCCATGGCATGTTCTCTATCCTTGGGCCACAACATTTACCCCCCCCCCCCATCTAAAATGACACTCTAATTTTAAATGTCTACCCCCACATTGACGAAAATGACATACCTAGGTCTCAATCTGGACATCACACAATCTGGAATCTGGAATCTGGACACACTGTCACTGGAATCTGGACAATCCCTAAGTCCTAACCCTATCCCTAACACACTTCGTGATACCTAGGCTAAGGTTATACTTTAGGACGTAGGGTTAGGGTTTTTGCATCAGTCCTTGATATACGGAAAGTCTGTTCATCAGTTGATGATACACAGAAATCTGTGCATCACTTCGTGATACCTAACTCCTGACCTAAGGTGCCTAAAGTGGATTTGCTTGAAAAAACTTAAATAATACTAGTAATTCAACAAGTACGTAAACTGACAACATTTAATGAATAAATAAAGGTTCATACTTGCGCGTAAACTTATGCATTAATTACAAATGTTGAAGCAACGAATTAACAGGGAAATAACAGTAAAAGGGCTTCTATCGCAACCTGCAGTAATTTAGGTTTTGCACAATGGAGAAACGAGCTCCCAGCATTCCTTGTAGTATCCACATGAGAATAATGTATACAATGTATATATTGTTGTCAGGTATCTACAATAATTATCGCAGCTCATTTAGTATTTATTCACTCATTATTAATTCATTTAATTAAACTTTTGTTGTTTTTAAAACACTCCCGTAAATGGTAAACGATGGCAAATAAGCCAATCAGCGCTGGACCAATGAGATTGTTTTGCAGTGTATTCGTGCCATACAGTGTAGATATCATCAGGAGCTAATAATGACGATTTTTTTCCATTGTTATTGTAATGACACATTTGTCATTATTAGCTCCTGATATCATATCATATAACGCCAGTGTTATATATGATATCAGAAGTAAATAATAGGCAATTTCCCTATTATCTACTTCTGATGATATCAGGAGCTAATAATGACAAATTATTTATTGACAAATTTGTCATTATTAGCTCCTGATGATATCTATGATTCGTGCGCTTGAATTTTTTATTTCTCAATAGAAAGGGTTAGAACTCTTTGCAATTGTTAATTATAGGAACTAGAACGCATTCTGAATCTGTCAGCGTATCATGTGGCTCGTCTGGTGTGCACTGCTGGACCGGGAGGGTAATTTGCAAACGCGGCCTTATATATAACTTTTCCCCTTATCTCGTTGCAAAGTGGCCATTTCATGTGTGTGCTGGGAAAAGCTTGTTTACAGAAAAAATTATGAAGAATTTTTGCGTTAACAACATATACATGGTGTCACTTGCAAAAATCAATTTAGAGAATGGCATTGCGATTCCTTAAAAAAGTTTCCTCCGATTTATGAGAATTTTTTCGTATGTATGGCCGCCAATGGAAATGATTTCCCGCGTATTAGCCGTAAATATGGTAACAGTCATTTGAAATAAGGTAAACCTGGCTAAATAAACGATGTAGTCTTTTTTAATATAATGAAAGTCAGTCCAAAGCAAAAAATGCAAATATGCTCCATTCACAAAACATGTTTTTTTATTACACGTTCCCATGATCGAATTACCTGTCTGAAAATACGAGTACATGATCATTACCTGACAGTGGCGCGTAATTTTTATATTCATGAATCACTGCTGGTTATAGAACTGAAAAGCACAATAGCAAGTATACCAACGTAAAAGATATAAAGTAGGTGGTGAAGCGTTGCATTACCACAGATTTTGATTAGCCAAACAATAATAGTGTTATGAGAATGGAAGAAATAAGCAAATGTCGAATGACGCTACCATACATTGTCAGCAATGCGCCACACGCAAACTAAGCGCCATCTACTAAACACAACGCTTACCACATATCTAACACATTGTACCCCAATGCACTCTCGAAATTACACTAGAATTTATGTTTTGAAGAAAAATAACTGTCGACCCGTTCAGGCAGGTTATTAGTTAAACATTATGATCGCGATCACTGTTATGTTAGCACCACTAACACTAAACTATAAATGCAACATGAGTACTGTGCAATATCTGTCTTATTGTATTCACAGGATTTTGCCTCTAAGTAATTCCATAACAATAATGAGAGTGGAGCAAGGTAGTAGGAAAAATTCAAGTGTTGTTTTTTTAGACCGATGGAGGCAGCACTACTAATTTCACAAGCGTGAGTTAACCATCTTAGAATAAATTACTAAAAATAGAGATTTGTCATTTTCCTTAACTTATTTCTTTATAAGTTTAAGTTTAGCAGAGCCGAATTCAGGACCAAAAGTCAAGGTGTGCAGTTGGATGCGAGAATGTAATAAGCAAAATTAACATATTTCTCTGCAACAAAGTCTATTGCTGCTTATGATCAACTAAAAAGGACTGGTAAGCAATATCCATCCAGCATCAAATTAGTGTACAATGCTGTTGTCACGTGGCATCATCTACATGTACAATATAACACTTTTACAAACTGGGAATCGAAACATTACTCTCAATTCTTCCACACCAAAATATACGGAATATGACATATATGACATCTGCGTAGACAGTTTACTTGAGACTGTACCCTCTGTATATGACAAGCACAACGTGACTGTAACTTGAGGACATTAATTGTAACGATATGACCAGCAGCAGCTGCATACGACCACACCACCAACTTGTTGCAACAAGACCCCCGTTCTTGCCGTCATAACACATGTAGTCATCCATGCACATATCTGCAACACTAGTGTCATAGACGTGTTCTGGATGATAGCAGTATTGGTGGTTTTGGAAGAAAAAATACTAGACACTCGACGATAAATGTGATAATCAGGAAGCTCCAAGTAAATACATGCTCGACATTTTCATCATATATTACGCAGCATGTCGTGCACACTATTAGAGAATTTATGGCACTCATTACATGTCTGTGCTCCTCATTTCCAAAAAAAAACTACGCAAGTCTTAAAAAATGTCGATAATCAAAGCTATCTACAAAAACTCAACACGATAGATAAGGGGGGCCACCTGCCAGTATATGAGCGCACAGTTGCTGATGTTGACTCGATCACCTCTCATACTGCAGAGTTCTCTACAACGCCCATGATATGCGTCATAACGCTAAACATTTAATTATCAAAATAGTTGTCACTACTATGAAACAACGTGACTGAACACGATGTAACAAATTTCTCCAGTAGCAGTGGTAAACACAAGTTCATAAGCATATATACTTGGATAATGCAATTAGCACAACGCAACTGACAACAGCAGTTAATTCAGTAATTAGCACTGCTGAACAAATCAACCAAAGTGGCTGACCGGATGCAATCGTGTTGTAACACTGAATGTGAACAGATTGCATTTTGTAACTCTGAAAAAATACCATCCGTATCCATTATCGTTGCCCATATCTCCACATCCAGAACTCACCGTGGCAGATTTACCAAGAGATGAGCGCCACCAGCTGCATTTCCCCCTACTGCCTGCAGGTGGCGCTACCACCGACAAACCTGCTACGAGTGGTTGCAGGCACTTTTAGCTGGGCGTACGGGACGTGGGGCCTTGCCATCAGTAGTCGTCTCCCTTGCTGACGACCTCTTTGCATGTGGGACGCAGCAGCAGCGTGTGCTCAAACTGGGCTGTGTAGCAACCCTTCACGTCACACAGTGGTGGGTACGGATCTGCAAAAGCACATGTTAAGCAGACGTTAAGCACACGTTAAGCCTCACGCCGCGTCAACAAAATTCTCTACTAGGGATGGGTATCGCAAACGAGTGCAGCAGAACCCACCGGCTGTAAAAACTACACGGTGCAACGATTAATCGTGATGTGATGTCCGGTACGATTAAATGCATTACAATGCATTTTTGATAGAAAGAGTAGAGCAAGTCGGAGAACAGAGAGTAGTCAGCATGAATTAACCGGTCGAGTGTAGTTGTCAGGCTATGGTCATCTTCTGCATTAGCAGTGATAACATTTTCGAATTTGTTCAGAGAGAGCACCTTACACTTGTAATCTCATTTTATTAGTATATCGTATCATGCGTTACATCTCTAGCTCATCGTCTTAATCGAAGTTATCACATATTCACTAATAACCTACTGAGTTCGCCTGTATAGGTGTGGTTCGCCGACTACAGTACCATATCGTGATATGTATGTATCATATCGTGGTGTAAATATTGCGATATGTATCATATCTTGGACTAAGCATATTGTTGCGACCCCTTATAAAAACCTTCTCATGTCGATATGAACAATAAAAATCTAAATGTATACAGACACTGTAGTCATGGTGGCAGACCAAAGCTACTATGGTGTTTAAAATGCTACCTACCCACAATACCCATGTCACCAAGATTCTTGAGAGCCATCAGGTACTTTGTCTGACCGAGTCTGTCCAACCATCTCCGACAGAATGCCAACGTGCCAAAGTTTTGATTGACGATGTTTAGAAGTTGCTTTGACCTTGCCAGCCTGTTGGAGAAACGTGGGGATGTGTATGAACGTTTATATACTATCTGCTGTTATACTTGGATAAGTACAGTGCAGCTTTCATCTAATGAAAGCCAAAACCGTGTGTTCTTCATGCATTATTAGTTTTGAAAAGCAATTTTTCTAAGCCTGAGTTAACTAGGCAAGCACCCGAGTAAAATTGCGAGCCTCAGTTTTACCTGACCGTGTAATGTCGCCACCTGTAGTTACAACAAACAGCAAAACACGCAAATGCTCAATCGGTGTGTGCATGCGTGCATGTCTGTGTCTATCCATCTATGTGTCTGTCTTACACCCCCTCTCCCTCTCACTGTGTGTGTGTGTGGGGGGGTCTGTGTGTTTTAATTTCCAACAATATTTGCGTTTGTGTCTTGGCATGCACACATGTGTTCGTGTTTACGCGAATCAGTGCGTGCATGCCTGCGTTTGAGCCACTCACCTTAGTGGCACATGACCGATGTCATAGTTCTTCATGTAGTGAGATGTCTCCATGTCATCGTGGACCACGCCTCGACCCGTGCTGCCAAATGTCTCGATCGCATAATACTCATTCTCCTATAATGTCACACATCGTCATTCCATCACCATCACCAGTAATTATTGAAACTTCAATAAAAGACACATCATCGCAAAATTCACAAAGATAGTATGCGCAGTTGTACATTTTCAGGGCACTGCCTCACTCCTAAACTTAGCCTCCTGGTGAATCAAAATTATGATTGGATTTGAACATGGTCTTACCTCCATTCTGATCGCTTCGCCCCCTTTCACTATCGGTACAGTTTTCCCAGCATGGATTCGGTACTGGCCTAAGCTATGACCGTTTAAATTCCGAATCGACTTTACTGTAAGACAATAACATTGATAATTTACAGCAGCAAAACCATTACAATAACATAAAAAAATGGCAGTAGCAAATCCACTACAATACCGTAAAACACTGAAAGTAGCAAACCCATTACAATAGCATCAAACACTGACAGTAGGAAAACCACTAAAACAACCTGAAACACTGACAGTAGCAAAACCACAACTATAACATGAAACACAGATAGTAGCAAAACCACTACAAAAGCACATAACATTTACAGATGCAAAACCACTACAATTTCAATCAATTAAATTATTAAAAATCAGTATTTTACTCAACTAAACCATAAAATTAAAATTACCCCTCAGATCTCCTGTGTAGCTGGCAGGATTTAATAAGGAAGGCTGGTTACAACAAATAAGGAACCTAACGGCTGTCGCACCACCAAAGAAATTCATACCTCTAACAACTAAAACATCAGTCCATTGTTACTAATGGTACGTAATGACAATCAGCCGCTGATGTCATACCTTGGAAGGTTTTACCGTCCAGCTCCACCTCATACGACTCCATCACCTCCTGGATGGCTGATCCTACGTCACACAGACGCACATCCACGCCTGCCTCCTGGAGGCAGACATGAGAGACACAGTTACTTATTGCACTGATCTAATCATGAACACAGATATATTTCATGAGATATACACAGGTTCATGCTGGTATGCAGCACTCCATTTTGCAGATAAACACAGGTTACATAATGTCAAATATTGCATTAACTATTCCTATATTCCCTATAGTTCCTATATTATGCCAACATGCTATAGCACAGTATGGGCAAGGCACAAGCATGGAGCGATCTCAATCCCCTTTATTAACCGACGTTTTCATTAAAAATCTACTAAGCTTCAGATGCAGGAGGAATGCTGAAAGATACCTTAATTCCAGTATACGTTGCATCTCTCACTGCCTGGATAAGTGTGTCGTACTTTGGGTTGAAGGCCACTGTCCATGCACAGTCAATAATACGACCTTGGTCATAAATAAATAAGCAGATAAATATAATTGCGTACACAACTGTCTACCTAAATGCGTGCAACTATACACCTACTCTGATAACAGATATCTACAACTGTGCGTTTACTGCCAATGATTGCACTCCTAGTTCTTCCGCCATGATCTAACTAGTGCTGCACATGTCGTTGCCCATTAATTGACAGATGCGTAATCAATAGCCGCGTTCACACGTAGCAAGAAATCCGGTATTTAGCATTCACACGAGGCAAAATGCGCAGTCCAAGAAATACGGTATCTAAACAGATCCGGTATTTGATGTAAATACGCGGCTTCGCAGACACCGAATAATTTGCCGTGCTTGAGAAATACCGGATCTCTAGGAACGTGCATTTCCTCGTGTGAACGCTAAATACCGTATTTCTGAAGCCGCGTAGTTTATAGACTGGTCCGCGCTCGACAGTTCCAGTGTAACGCGAGTGGAACTGTCGAGCGCAAACCAGTCTACATATTTTATCGACAGTTGGTGCGCATTGCATTGTTTATTTTGCATTGTTTGCTTGATTGTTTAAAGCTGCTCGCAGCTCGCAAATACCGTATTTCTGGAGCCGCGAATCAGTGTGTGAACGCTCGGCCGCATATTTGTCTCAGATTCGGTATTTCGCAAAAATAGCGTATTTCATAACTACGAGGTCTCGTGCGAACGAGGCTACTATTGAGTACCGTTGACGTGGATGCCATAGTCAATCTTGCATACGTCGTCGTACTGCAGTACTGTCGGATCGCCTGCGTTAGGCGTATAATGAGCTGCACAGTAGTTCAGTGAGCAGCCGGTGGGGAACGCCAGCCCAGCCTTCAGTCCGTTCTCCTGAATGAGCTTACGGTTCGACTCCTCTATCCTCGTACTGCAACCAGCAACATTATCAAGTGTATGGGGGGGGGGGGGACAACTGTAAAGTAATTTCATCATTCAGTGAACCCGAAATCACCCAACTATGAATGAAATTACAAAATATCAATTGGAGACCAGCCAGTAATATGATATCAGTCGTGAACTTCTATGACACCCTTACACGTCTAGAGCAGATAGAAGCTTCTGTGTGTGCATTACAAAAATAACAGTTTTTATGTCATTGCATAATGTACAAACATCTACACGAGTGAACGATCCAAGATACACGTCAGTAAACAACAACCATACGACATTAAGAAATGTTCAATGTTCAGTGCCGCCGCATGTCAGCTAGATGGGGCTATAATAAAAATATTGTTTGTTTGCCCTAACCCGACCGACCCACTAAAAAGGGGCCGACTCAACATTTTTTATTGATCTTTCCCATTCTTTTTTTTTTACAAATTGTACCACTGTACATTATATAAATCTGTAGGCAATACATTATATGTACCAAGCAATACAAACATTCAACATAAAAGGTATCGCCACACAAGCACACCCGAGCATGTAGACACCATGCTGAATTTGTAAAAAAAAAAACTAAAAAAAGCCTACCTACCTACCAAAACTTTTCAGGCTGGGTTGGGTGAGAGCAAACAAAGATTTTTTTAATTGTGGCCTGACACCGCGCTATGATGCTAGAAAACTAGAAAACGCACGTCAGCTAGATCAGTGGTTCTTAACTTTTTTTGAGTCATGGACCCTTTGAGAATCTCGTAAAAGCTACAGACCCCTCCCCAGAAAATGCACATAAGCACATTAACACAAACTTTGCATATAATGGGCTTCACGGACCCTTTGAAGCCCATCCACGAACCCCAAAGGGGTTCATAGACCACAGGTTAAGAACCCCTGAGCTAGATGGGCAATGCAGACTGCGCACCATATGTCGATCATTGTCAGCCCTGGCTTCACGAAGCTGTGAACATATTTCCTCGTCTGTCGATGCGCCTCCGCCGCCCTCCTGAAGTCGTTGTAGACATCATGCTGAAGTCGGTCCATGGCTCTCTTCTCCTCATTCGTGAACCTGTCTTTCGCTGATCGGCTAGACAACGAATCAAGAGCTCAGGCTTAACTCCACTTTTTCACCGAGCAATAACATGAACAAAGTACAAATAATCATGGAAAACGTAGTACTGTGTCTTCGAATCAATGAACCTGATTCTCTCTTCCTTTGACCTCCGTCAATTTGACTAACTAACCCTAGATTTCAGAAGTGTCTACGGGGAGCCAAGAGAAACCACAGAAATTTTAACATATTTAGCCAAAGACGTTGTCAACCTGTCATGACAATGTCACAGTCAAGTACAACCTGAACATTACAGTGTGGAATCAAGCCTGAGTGAACTATAGTACACAAATAAAGTAGGCTTGAGACACAGATAAATCTCAAAACACTTTAGAACGAAATAGTTTTAAATTGACTACGTCACGATTTTTCTATGGAGTATATTTGTAAAAATTTTGTTGCAATTTTTTTACATTAAAAGTAAGTACTAACGGGACTAAATGTATCCTCAAATTCTTACCTGTTTCTCAACTAGGTAAAAATCCAAAAAACCTTGGCGATTTGATATTATGATCACGACATTAAATGCTTGCTATGGGCTATGTATGAGTCACGAGTGTTTGTTCACATCGAACAGAATAGAAAAATAGGAAGTATAATGCAGCAATTTAAGAATAAAAAGTGAACAGAATAACTTACATTTTGTGAAAAAGTGGACATATTTTTTTAACGTTTATTGTTTACGATGACGTAATCAATTCAAAGTTCACTGGAATAATAGCTTGGCCATGATCAAAGAAAGAAATGGCTGCAATTTTATTGATACATAGCTGTGTCTAGGAATCAAGGATAATGTAACACATACTCGTCATTTCCTCCCTGACAGTCACCGTGGCAATCGTGATGTTCTCTACAACAAAATGACAAGGAAAATTACATAACAGCAAAGAGCAGCACACATAGGATTTAGCTGTCAATAACCAGGAATAAACAACAATGCAAATACCTTTTAGAAAGAGTGACATTCCTCAAAAAAACCGATGACAAACACATAATCACTTATTGTAAGAAGGACACCACCTTACTTTTCTACCTTTATTACCTTTATTATTTTTTATCTTTACTTCTGATTTTCATAACAACACTCTGCCACACTGAACGACTGTACTCACTCTTCTTTTGGAACTGGATGTTCTGAGATCTCACCCTCAGGGTAGATACCATTTGGAAATAGCTCAGTGATCGGTACAGATGGTGGATCTGTCTGTTCTTTCCTACCCTTTTGTACTGGTGGAACTGCTGTTGTGTCTCCTTGCGCTTGATTTCCAGCTATACCCAATGGTAGCATGTGTTACATTCCTTCAACAAATTACACGAGCAATATCGTTTTCGATACCCTATGAGACATATTAAGCTAGCAAACGCTGTGCCCTGCATTACATCATCGACAAGTACAAAAAATATACCATTTATACTCTGCACGAATCAGCAGATGGAATTCTCAGGCTTTCCAGCAGTCCTTGACAACATTTTAGGGCTAATTTTAGGAAGAAATTCAGGTTTTTTTAGGGCTATTTTAGGAATTTTTAGGGATGAATCGAAACATTTTAGGGATAAAATAAGTCACTTACCTTTCATAAACATCAACGTGTTAACTTACAGATACAGTTCTATGTGGCATGTGTCGAGTCTACCAGCTATTCCTATCTTCCAAGTCCTCGATACGACTGTACATCATCAAGTTTCATGCAAATTAGGCATGTCTTGTACATCCAGCCAGGAACAGGGTCGTATAATCAGACACTGAAGCTTAGGAATCACTGGTAGACCGAGTCATAATACTCACTCTGTTTAAAGATAACTAGAAAACATCCATTAGCAGGGTCTTTAACCTTGTGAACTCCAAATGCGGAATGTAACTAGTAGCGTATTCAGAAATTGATGGACAGAAGGGTCCGGGAGGGCGAAATGTACCTTGGCTGCCGCAGGGAAGCCTGCGTGCTATAGGCATGCCAGTGGTAGGGGGGTCTGGGGGCATGCCCCCAAAAAAAAATAGAAATATTTAAGCCGTTTTCCTGCAATCTGAGGAATATTGTGGGCCATATTCTCATGTCTGATAACACTATCTCAACCCTAGACTCACCCCTACAACCCTTGTCTGATTAGCAGACAAACTACGCGACACCTTGCAGACAGCGCCTGTCTGACTAGGCTGTTCCATTTACCGTAGACATGCCAGATACAAAATGCCTGAAAAAAAACAATGTGTCCAAGCAAACAATCAGTGCAAATTTTGTACAGTGCAACTGAAATGAGGAATATAACCTTGCCGCTGCAGAATGCGGAAATTAAGCCTAGAAATCGTAATGATTCCGCAGAATGAGGAATGGTTGGAGACCCTGCATTAGACATAATTACAAACCAAAAGTTCATCATCTCATCACCCAAAACTCCAAACATATCTGTGTAATTTTTTTTTAGGAATTTGAATAAAATTTTAGCCCTCTTTTAGGAATTTCCTACATTTTTAGTTTTTTTTAGGAATTTTAGGACGAGCTCAACATTTTAGGAATTTTAGGGCCGCTGGAAAGCCTGCTTTCATACCAAATTAGCCTCCACATACCTTTGTTTTTCTTTTTCTTCTTTTTCTTTTTGGAAGCTGTGTTATCAGCAGCTTCTTCTAATACACCTTTCAAAAAATATTCAAATGAGTTACTGGTGCACCAATTATTTGAATAATCAATAATCGGTTCAAATCTTCAACTAACCAATTACTCTATGGAAATTCCCTGCAACCGATTCTAAACACTTACTAAAAAGATTAAAGCCACAATATGCACATCTACACGCTAATTTCTCCAGTACTAGACTAGCAAATACTTCGTGACATGTATAATCACACTACCTTATGACAAAATAAACTCTAGTTCCTCCCATTTCACTGTGCGAAATCAGGTAATCTGGCGCCAACGCCGAATTGTTTGCCAAGCAATTTCGCCCCGAATCGGTTAGGGGACGTCACATGTTGCTACGGGTGTTGAGCAGAGAGAGAATATAGCCGTTTACATTTTAAGATAGTTGTAGTATTGTGAACTGCAGTGTATGTAACATCAATAGCTATTGGGAAAGTAATAATAGGCAGTGTAATAAACTCTGAGAATAACGTATTGATTTTAGGCTTGATATCACCAACGATAACATGTCATTGCGCTACCAGCGTGCAAGCGAAAAACGCACACGGGCCATAGAAATCTTTGCTACCCCCGCTGTACGGTTGCTTGGCAGAGCAACGCGAAAGTGTCAACAACATCAGAGAATTTGAACAACATTGGAGGTATTTTCAAATACCTTTTATAAGACAATGCGCAGTGAAATGGGAGGAACTAGAGTTTATTTTGTCATAAGGTAGTATGATTATGCATGGCACAAAGTATTTGCTAGTTTAGTACTGGAGAAATTAGCATGTAAATGCACATATTGTGGCTTTAAGCTACACCCATTGACCTCCTACTGCAAATTCCTTCTAGTTTTTACCAAATTGTATTATCAAGTTGTGAGCATATTGACCGCCTTGCCAGAGCATCATACTATCGATCAAATGGAAGTTACTTTTTGTTTATTATGTTAAGGTTTATTTATTATAAGTTAGTTTATTATGACACATTTATTATTGAAGAAGTACACAATCAAGACTGCAAAGGTCTGAGGTACCTCAGCAAAGTTAACAATCAAATTATTATATGTGTAACAACTTATATGTAGAATATTTTAGCTACTTTTTCACAAATAATAAAAATAGAGCAATCAAATTTTAATTGATAACTGATTGGTTGTCTCAAACCAATTATTAATTTTAATTTTTTCAATCCAACTACCAACACTAAAATGAATACATAAATTTGGCAATGATATTTCCAATTCGGGTTCAATATACAAAACCCTATAATAATTTTTCTAGGTATCCTTCTAGGTGATTATGCAGGCTTTTGCAGCAAATTATATTCAGACACAGTATGTCCACACGCATGTACACATTTACCTTCAGCATTGTTATCTTTTACACCTTCTGTCACTTGCTGCTGACTTAATTTTTCAGTAACTGCAGCAATATCATCTATCACAGTATCCCCATTAGGAACAGCTGCTTCAGTCTGAGCTCCGCCTCCTACAAATAGAGTCACCCATGTATGTATAACCACATTAAATGTTGCCTTGCACTGAAATTTGCAGACATCTACAAGCTTGACATTGCTAAATTAATGTGTTAAAACTTAAATCCACAAGATATTTAATTTGTGTCATCTATATCTGTGCTAGGCAATGCCAATTAACTAGGTCACTTCTAATTATTTCAACTGTGAAGTATGGGCTATGCCTATGGGTATTATTATTACGTGTTACATCAATCTTAGGAAGATCTGCATTGTCAGAGCAATTCTAATAATAGATATGCGAATCCAGAAGTAAACAACTAATAAAATCGACAATGCAAATCAAACTCGTACTCGTCGTAAACTTCCTACTGCTACTGGCAGTACTGATATTGATAGATAAAACACGGCTGGTAAAGTTAGCTATAACGAACTTGCTGCACTTGCGGTGTGGTGCAAAGGTATCAGAAGTAGCCAGAACGGCACATGGAGCCGCCCACCTAGCAGCTGTGTGTACGCAGAATAAGAGCCCCTGGAGGCATGGTTACGGTATGACGACTGTTACTGTTAGTGTTAAACTGACAAGCCTCTCCCAGACTTTTTGCACAGCCTTACCCTTCTTCTTGCGGTTACGCTTCCTCTTCTTTTTCTTAGTTGCTTCGGTAGCAGTTCCTTCCACTTCTCCATCAGCGGCCTCGTCGCGTTCATCTTCGTTGTCTGCGTCGTTTACTTCCACATTTTGATCCTGAACAGAATCAGCGTGAACTGCTGCCATCTTGCTAACTATGGCAGCGCCACGCCGGTTGAATTTCGCCTATCGTAATCTTTCTTCGGTCCACTCGTTAATTTACATATTGGGTCGTACATTATCCATGGAAGGGGCGGCTGCGACACATTTTTTTAGAATAATATTAAAAAAATGTACCAAATAAATTATTGACAACCCATAAATAAATGCGAAAAGCATAATATAACAAAATTCACTGCTATAATGTATGTTTTATTGACGCACGGGGTCCTATGGAAGGCCATTATCGCCAAAACCTACCTATTTAAATTTTTTTAATCACGCTTAAAATGTATTTTAAGCGCGACTGAATTCCAGCCAATCAGAACAGTGGTTTTTAATCGCGATTAAAATGTATTTTAAGCGCGATTGAATTCCAGCCAATCAGAACAGTGGTTTTTAATCGCGATTAAAATGTATTTTAAGCGCGATTGAATTCCAGCCAATCAGAACAGTGGTTTTTAATCGCGCTTAAAATGTATTTTAAGCGCGATTGAATTCCAGCCAATCAGAACAGTGGTTTTTAATCGCGCTTAAAATGCATTTTAAGCGCGATTGAATTCCAGCCAATCAGATTGGTTTTTAATCGCGCTTCAAATGTATTTTAA